TGCTCCCGCCCCTCCTCAAAACGTAAATTGTTTAACATATCACAAACTGTTAAGATTCCCAACTACATAAATGAAACAATTAGAATGAAGTTTTAATAATCTGAAAGAATTTCAAGGATCACCACCAATGGTTATCTTTAGTTATAGAACGTCTGATTGGAGTAAAAAATCCATACTAAACCATAAAGATAGCGCTTATAACTGTCGAAGAGTTTGGACTCAAATCGTAAATTTCAACGGTTTTAATTTGTTAAATGACAAACGAGGTTGTATTCCTCTATCATTACAAAGCTATCAATCGTTTCACGTGTGATAATGAATTCAATATGAAGATTTCTCTAGATTAGGATATAATTGTATAGAATTCTAATGACGATAGGAATTTGAATACAGATTTATCTTTGTTTTTGAAAGTGCAGCCTTTTCACGACGGCTTTAAAGCAAATGACGTTACAACATGCAAACATAATTGTATATATAGAATTTATAGAATGTCACACTAGTTAAGACACATTCCAATAAAAATGGTTATTTGATTATTTCTGTTATACCAAAACGTGAACATGGACTGTGAATCCCCACATCGATTATCTTTTCCTTCATCTTCTGCAACTTACGTGAATTTGGGAGACACAAAAACTAAATAATCGTTATAAAAATAAGAATATGTGGTATTACTGCCAACTCTCCATCAGAGACCAAATAACGTAGAAGTTAGCATGCAACTATATGTCACCGTATGGCCTTCAACAACGAGCAAAAACATATACCACACGCTATAAAAGGCTCCCAAATGATAAATTCAAAACATTTTAAACGAAAAAACTAACGGTCTGATTTATATACAAAACCATAAACGAAAAACAAATATAATGCACTGCCACTGAACCACAGGTCCCTTACTAGGGACAGACACAGACAGAATATGGCTGGTTAAGGATGTTTGCGGGTCCAAAACCCTCCCTTAACCTGGGACAGTGGTGCGACAGCACAAGACAAGAAAAACTGTACAAAATAATAAACGAAAACAAATATGATATACAGCAACAAAAGACAACCACTGAATTATTAGCTCTTTATAAAGGACATGCACACACAGAATGTGGCGGTGTTTAACATGCGTGTGGGTCTCAAACCCTCCCATAACCTGGGACATTCTGTGAACATCTCGCTGTACTTGGAATGGAAAATTTAGAATTTCCTCCATTTTTAAATTATTAGTGAGAACTAAAGAGCCACTTTTTCATTAGATAATTCCAAACAAAACTAAATAAGAAATATAATTGGTGTTGTTAAAAATCAAAGTCCCAAGACAATGCTATCGTAGCACTTCAGTGTTTGTTACCATGACATTCCCAATGTCAATCGTTATCGTAGCACTACAATGTTTGTTACCATGACATTCCCAATGTCAGTCGTTATCGTAGCACTACAATGTTTGTTACCATGACATTCCCAATGTCAATTGTTATCGTAGCACTACAATGTTTGTTACCATGACATTCCCAATGTCAATTGTTATCGTAGCACTACAATGTTTGTTACCATGACATTCCCAATGTCAATTGTTATCGTAGCACTACAATGTTTGTTACCATGACATTCCCAATGTCAGTCGTTATCGTAGCACTACAATGTTGATTACCATGACATTCCCAATGTCAGTCGTTATCGTTAACACTATGTTATACTGTTTGAAAAGTCAAGTTGAATCATAACAGAAAGCGCTCAAGGAAATTATTAAAAAAAACTTTTTTTATATGGCACGATTTGTTCTTAAATAATTTAACACTATTTACCGCTGGCTGGGACATCGTATTAGACATTCCGTGACTGAATTGAATTTAGGATTCGTATTGTTGTATGTGAAGACGCGGAGTGAATTAGGTGGACAGTTTTCTCTGCTTACAATACCTTTCTGTATGAACTCGTCTTTGTTTTCTTTCTTGGTTTCTTGCTGTCATGTTTTTTACCATGAGCAGCTGGACGGGTCTGAGAGTGTAGCAGATCCTTCTGTAAAACCCAATTTTTCATTAGGTTTAAAAGGGGTGCATGTTTTTAACTTGTAATCCCCCAAATTTCTCAAGATAGTGCAGAGATATTATAATAGTTATTTCTGTCCATAATATTTTTGTCGTTTTTGTTTAAGATTGTATGTATTCTCATAATTGTTTGCTAGGTCTCTGTATTGTTCGCTAGCTCGGAAAAAAACGTGATTGTTTTATGTGATATTGTGGTTTTTAGTTATGCCTCCTAATTGTTCTCTAGCTAACTGTTCGCTATAATTGTTCGCCAGCTTGAGTCAAGTGTCCATTATTACAGCGGATGACCGTGAGGGCATTCCGGTGTTATGTTGCCACAGACATTTCTACCCACGTGACTTGCGTTTTTGACTGACAACCGAACGTATTTCGTATAATTACGCGGCTATTATCGAGTGCAAAATAACATTCCTTATCGCTTGTTATATATTAATTTCATCAATAAATATTCATGAAAATAAATTTTTAAGAACAAAGATAAATGATATGAAAATGTTTTGTCGTGAAAATATATATATCAATAACAAATCAAGAATACCGAAAATTTGTGTTATCTCAAGAACGTTTTGCAACAAACGCGGGAAAATATGAATGCCTACTCAAATCCAATCTATTAGAAAAACGAATTATTACAGAAGAGTGTCCACCATGCACTTGCACTGCACTATCATTAGAACAGTAGAATAGAATGATATACAAATGGATGAAAATTATATATAACTGTTATACAAATATTAATATAATATATAACAACAAACCAGAGTATATACTGATAAACAAATGATTATATCACTACAATATAATAGTTATTACGGTGAGGTTGAATTCCCTGTCATTTATTTATCATCCACACACGAACTTGTCTCAGAAAAAAATATATCTATGTACCTTAACCTAACTTTCAGGTATAGAATCTCTATACCTGAAAGTTAGGTTAAGGTATTATCTCTAAGACGTGATTTTTTTTCTGAGACAAGTGCTTGTGACCATCCACCAGAACTTTCGGTCATCCGATGTTCAGTACTTCAGCACTTTGATTAATTATACCTTGTTCATATCATTGCACCTTTAACAACGGGATTATATAGTAATCAATATGTCCGTCCGCCGTCACATATTTTCTGAAACGCCTCCTTAGCTTGAAAGAATTGTTTCCCGTATAAAAATTGAAGATTTTATACCATTTAACACCCTCTTCCGTGCTTAACAGATTTGCGCTCGACAATTAATGTCTAGGATTTATGTAGGTTATCACGCTTACTTGTTTACTTGCATTACATTAAGCTCTGAATTTATAGTCATGATTGAGCGATATAATTTATCATTTACAAATGTAGGGTTATTTATGAAAATGGAATACATACCAAGAAAAGTGATTTTGCATGTGCTCGTAGAGGAAGCCAAATACAGAATTACTTGTATATAATAGTATGTACATTCACTTAACTATATTTGTACATACTATTATGGATCCAGGATTTTGAAAGGGGGGGGGCAAACTAGGTTTGGCCGTGGAACCGGTAAAAAAATCTGTAGGTCCATAAGGAAATCCGAAAATCATGTTTTTCCCAACTAACTAAACATAGAAAACTATAAGAGGATAGAAACTTCAGTTTGTATACTAATCTTAGAGCAGAGAGCCAGATAGACTGATTTGATCGGAAAAAAAGACTGAGAAGCGACACACAAAACCAGGTTTCTTCTGAATCATTTAGTATTATTGATAACATATTATACGAACTTCGTCTATCCAACGGTACCGCATTCAGACATACAACAACAATTCCGGAAGAAGTAACTAGATAGTGTTAAATAGGAACTGATATGATGTTTGTCTATTAAGAAGTACAATCTATACCATATTGTTTATCTTTTAATTACTAGAACCCTCTTGATACGTAGTTTTAGATTATTCAACATCAACAAATTATTTACTTATTGCAATTGATAATTTTTACATCAGTTACCAAGGATAAATAAGAGAACCCATGTTTCAAATATACTAAGATATAAATGACACTACTTGTTTTAATTTTTTCAACAGAAATGATATTTTTTCTTTGTTATATTCATTTATATCGAAATAAACACTCTTCACATTCATCTGACTATATGTTCACCTCTATATGTCTTTGTTTTTTCGTTTTGTTTGCTTGCTGCTTCAACATACTTCACGCATTTAATTTATATTTTGAATAAAATAGTTAACTTTTATATATAATTGGCATCACAACTGATAACTGTATGCAAGAAAAAAAAAAACGCAAAATCCTTTGGTATATAAGAGGTAGAAGATACAAAGCGAATATTCAAAACTCGTAAGTCAAAGGAAAAATGGCGACAAAAAAAAACTGCAACTTTTACTGATAAGGTCTCAATATATTACCCGTATTTTTAGCTAAGATTTCAAAGCTTACCCCAATGTATCACTTAGAAAAAAATGACTAGGTAAGAAATTGGTTTAAACATTTTTTAGTTGTTGTTGTGTAAAATTTACGTATCAAAACAGGGCAATGTTCATGAACTTTGGGAGACAAAATAAATATAGTGTATACGTAGCGAGCGTATGCATTGACAAACATATTTTGGGCATTATTTTTGTTATAACAAATATATTATTTCACAATATTTAGTTTGTCGAACCCAGCGCTCTATTTTTGCATATTGAGGATTTAAATTTTAATGCTTAATTAGAAAAGCACGTAAAAAACACATAATTATGCATCAACTTAAAACACTTTTCATCTTGAAATAATGAACTTAATATTGGGGACAAACAGAACCCTAACCACGCTTACTCCTTTCAAAAAAATATCTAGAACTAATTTTTATGTATAATGAATGTAGAACAAAAATAGTTTAAACTAAACTGAAACACAGTTTTAAAAAAAATGTATTTTTATTAAAAAAAAAATAAACGTTTAATTCTTCTAACAATTGAAAAATTAAAAGGATTACCTTGACTCTGTGTACAGTTCAGTTAGTTCATACAACGCAGCTATCCAACAAGTAAATGAAGCAACAGAAATAGAAATCACAGTGTCGAATTTATCAATCACTTTATAGCATGTTCATGAAACTATAAAATCATCAAAAGAAACTTTTCCAGTTAGCGATTAAGCTTTGTATAGGCGTGTTTATAACTGTCTTTCATCGACAGAGAAGCTTTCATAGATATCAATACTATAGCGTACATAAGGTAAGTCCCATTGATTTATACAGAACATATTTTAGTTTGAACATAAGGCAATCAGGAACGAGTGAGATAGGACAATTCATGTATATATTGAAAGATCTGTCAATTTTTATACTTTCTTATCCTTCATTTTATATCGCACGATCCATACTATCAATTAAAGTAATTCAAATATTTTCCCCCATTTTATCAATTTAAAGATTTTTTATGACAATTTGTACCACACTATATATATAACATGTAAAATACACGTTGTATACTTCATTCCTTACAAGCAATTTGTTATTTAACTAGCAGTATTAAAAACCGGCGAACTTTTACAATCAAATAAAATGCAAGAATGAAGACAGTTAATTCCGTAGGGCCAAAGAGCAATTTTTCATAAAACTTAACAAGACAAACTTTAACAGAAAGTAATTCGTTTGAATTGTTAACTTGAAGTCGTAAATTAATTGTTATCTAAAATACCACGACCGCGACGTCCCTTATGTCAATCGTTGCCAGTAAAATTATTGTATTCTGTCTAAAAGTATGGCAGGAAGCACTCTCAGATATCATCGAAGAACTTTGGTTGATAAAAGGGGGACTAAATATACAATTTATAATTATTTATATTTAACCTTCACTTTACTTGCGGGAAATCCTCCGAACTTAAGCCATTAGATATACAAGTGTTGTGTTTAGATTCATTGTATCTAACTTTCATCGAATGTCTCCTAATTGATCCCAGTGCATGTAGTTTAAGACAAGGTTATATTCAAGTGCAATCATTAGTGAAAACGACATTTGTTTTTCAAATGGAATTGTTTGTTTTCCGTCCAAAGATAAGACAGTGAACATTGACATATTCTAGACAACATATCCGTATACTGTGTGATACAATCTTTATTCTAAAATAGCAATGATACAATTCACCGATATTATCTAGAAATGTTCATGTATTTTCAATGGCTCTTAATCTCAAAGTCCGATTCCAGCAGCTCAAACACACTCATAATCAAAACAGTGATCTAAAGTTTGTTGACCAGTTCTTACGCTTCCCAATCTGGCTTATAGAGACTGCAAGTAAAGTGTACATACCGTTAAGTTTTAATGTTAATTACAAACATTCAGAAGTAATCAAAATGTACCTTACCTTAATTCTGATTTAAAAGTATTTAGTTTTGAATTTTAGGTAATTCCCATTGTATTCTCATAAACTCATGAACTACATAAATTATTGATGTTTTAAAGACAATAATTGTTATATACTTGGCAGGAAATGCCTCCTTTAGTTAGTTAAACTTATATCACTTGTATTATAGTATCAATGTCATTTTAGGCCCTAATTGACTTGATTTTGGGAAGAGCGAACAACCAGAAACGGTAAGGTGTCGATTTGATTGGACACATTTTGTGGATTTAAGGTTTAAAAATGGCAGTGTTTTCATCTAGAAATTTACTCTCCTGTGCAGTTTGCAAAGTTTAAAGGCCTGGAATCCACTAGATATATAAAAGTTAAGTACATTTTGAGTTTCAGAGAGATAAAATCTTTTTTGGATTTTTTTTCGTTCCAGCAGAAGGAAAACATGGCCTTAAAAAACTGACCAATCGTCTCAATAAACTACAATGCATTGTGGGCTACTACGAGTTTACTAGCTACCACTTATAGCCAGTCATGGTCGTTAATAACCCCCATCATCATCTTAAAAAACGTGGAATTAGTGGGAAAACTGTCAACTTATATAGTGTCCGGGACTCTCATAATAAATATTTTTGTCCAGCCAATGTATTCAATTGTAAAATATATAACATAATCTTCAATTTGCATGCTCAGATTTAAAAAATACTGTTTATTGGTTATACGAATCGACTCTCTTTTTCGCCTTCTAAAAGTAGTTGAACAGGTTTTGTCCATTGTTTTGCATTGTACCTATGCATTAGTTTCACGTGAAACAGTGAAATTTGCAATGAAATGACGAATGTCTAGTATAAAAAACATTTGAACTCTTTGAAACCTGTCAAAACGGTTTGAAGGAATGGGTTATACGCCTCTCTATATAAATGATCTTGGATTTTTTTGTATCCTGTATAATGCCATTCAAAAAACATTGCTGCTCCGAAAAACACAAAAATATGTGTTATAAAAAATGGGGACGGTGAAAAGCTTAACATATTTTGTAACTTTTGTCCGTAGAAGAAGTCCGTCTATTGCCAATACTTTCGATACGATATGTTTCACTTTAGCATCCACAACTCCGATCGACCTCCTTAACCATTTATCATAATGAAACGAAACCTCATAATCCTTACCATACAATGCTATTTTGCACTTCATATTTTGTTTTTGGTCAAAACTATTTTTGGGGTTTCTATTTCCTAAACATGAACATTGCCATTTCTTTATATGGGGTACCCATATTGTATCTACAACAACTGAATAAAAGTTCGTCTTATGAGTAATTATGTTTTTCACTGTTGTTTCGTTGCTGTCTTGTGGACGAATATCTGAAATCTTCGTTTAATCAAACAATCGTTTCGTCGCATAGAAACAACTATTCGTTAATCTGAGCATTAGAACAAATACTTTATATCTAGAACTATAATAGTTCTATATATATGTAGATATAAAAGTTGAAAAACTAAGCTAAATTGTATATCCCTCAATGCAGGAAAAACATGTGTTATATTTCAGAAAATAACACGTGTTCTCGGTTGATCGTAAACACGTAGTAGTCCATCATGCATTGTTATCCATTTATTGGATTGGTCAGAAACCCAGGTAAAAAAAAATGCGTCATACGTAAATAAACAATTATATTTGCGAGGACATTATTATGCAAGTTTATGCATATCCATATAAGGTAGTGTTCCCGACCTGTTAAAGGGTGTAACTGAGTGGACAGTATCAAATGTAATTCAGGTGTTTATTATTTTTACACCAATAGCAGGAAAGAAAAAAACGCCTATCAAAATCCAAAAGAGGTTTTATCTTTCTGAAACACAAAATGCACTTAACTTTTATATATCTAGTGGATACTAGGCCTTAACACTTTTCGAGCTGCACAGGTTTGTCTGTACTCTGAGTAGTTTTTGAGGTGAACACAAAGGCATTTTTGTCCATTTGTGATGATGAACCTTTATTTTGCTGTTCTTCAACAGCGAGTTCTTATATAAAATGACTTGTTCCTTCACTATCCGTCAAAATACGATTTAGGTGTTCTTTAAAACAAAGCGTTGTCTTGTTTGGTTACGGGATAAAGTCCGTTTCTGTGGTGATAGCTTTTTTCTTATATATTAATGATAGAATACAAGTGTGCCATTGTAACTAAAGACTCTTGTCTGTAATAAGCTAAAGATTTCAAGACTGAAGACTTTTCAGTTAACATAAAACTAAGGAGATGTGGTATGATTGCCAATGAGACAACTATCCACCAAAGTTCGAATGAAGTGGATGTAAGCAACTATAGGCAACCGTACGGCCTTCAACAATGAGAAAAACCCATGACGTATAGTCGGCTTTATATATAAAAGGCCAAGACATGTTAAGTCAATCATGCAGTGCAATCTAAGACATAACCATAGAGTGCGATCTATGTTACAACCATGCAGTGCAATCTTTGTCAAAAACTTTCAGTGAGATTTATTTCGCAACTATGCAGTATATTCTTTGCCACAAGCATGCAGTGCGATCTGTCACAATAATTTTTTTCAGTGGATTCTGTGCCAAAACCGTGCAGTACAATCTATGTTGAAACAGTGCAGTCCAATCTGTCGCACCTATGCAGTAAAATCTGTCACAACCATGCAGTCCAATCTGTCACACCTATGCAGTCCAATCTGTCACACCAATGCAGTACAATCTGCTGCACCCATGCAGTCCTATCTGTCGCAACCATGCAGTCCAATCTGTCACACCCATGCAGTCCAATCTGTCACACCCAGTCAGAGGAATCTGTCACACACATGCAGTCCAATCTGTCGCACCATGCAGTCCAATCTGTCACAACCATGCAGTCCAATCTTCAACACCCGTGCAGTCCAATCTGGCACACCTATGCAGTCCAATCTGTCACAATCATGCAGTGCAATCTCTTACAATAATAGAATGAAATATGTCAAAACCATGTATTGCAATCTGTCATAACAATGCAGTGTAATATATGTCCCAACAATGCATTGCAATCTGACATGACCATGCAGTGCAATCTGTCACAACCAATCAGCGTAATATGTTAAAATTATGCATTATAATCTGTGACAACTGTGCAGTTCAATCTATGTCTCAACATTTATGTGCAACCTGTCACTATCATCAATGTCGTCTATGTTATAACCATGCAGTGCAATCTGTCACTATCATCAATGTCGTCTATGTTATAACCATGCAGTGCAATCTGTCACTATCATCAATGTCGCCTATGTTATAACCATGCAGTGCAATCTGTCACTATCATCAATGTCGTCTATGTTATAACCATGCAGTGCAATCTGTCACTATCATCAATGTCGTCTATGTTATAACCATGCAGTGCAATCTGTCACTATCATCAATGTCGTCTATGTTATAACCATGCAGTGCAATCTGTTACTATCATCAATGTCGTCTATGTTATAAACATGCAGTGCAATCTGTCACTATCATCAATGTCGTCTATTTTATAACCATGCAGTGCAATCTGTCACTATCATCAATGTCGCCTATGTTATAACCATGCAGTGCAATCTGTCACTATCATCAACGTCGTCTATTTTATAACCATGCAGTGCAATCTGTCACTATCATCAATGTCGTCTATGTTATAACCATGTAGTGCAATCTGTCACTATCATCAATGTCGTCTATGTTATAACCATGTAGTGCAATCTGTCACTATCATCAATGTCGTCTATGTTATAACCATGTAGTGCAATCTGTCACTATCATCAATGTCGTCTATGTTATAACCATGTAGTGCAATCTGTCACTATCATCAATGTCGTCTATGTTATAACCATGTAGTGCAATCTGTCACTATCATCAATGTCGTCTATGTTATAACCATGTAGTGCAATCTGTCACTATCATCAATGTCGTCTATGTTATAACCATGCAGTGCAATCTGTCACTATCATCAACGTCGTCTATTTTATAACCATGCAGTGCAATCTGTCACTATCATCAATGTCGTCTATGTTATAACCATGCAGTGCAATCTGTCACTATCATCAATGTCGTCTATGTTATAACCATGCAGTGCAATCTGTCACCATCATCAATGTCGTCTATGTTATAACCATGCAGTAATCTGTCACTATCATCAACGTCGTCTATGTTATAACCATGTAGTGCAATCTATGTCATACCTCCGCAGCTCAATTAAAGTCAAACAATTATTTTCTGCTGTATTATATACAATATTGTATAGTAACAACATATCACATACAGAACGAAACCAGACGGTATGATGCAATAATATATCTGTTTGCACTAGTGCAAATAATGCTTCAAATTAGTAACGTCATCAGTGACATGCATATTTGGGGAACAGATTCCTTGTAGAGCATATATTGCTGTCGCAAGCTCGTGTAGTATAAAAATCTACAATATTCACCGATATTTACGCAATAATCCTATAATATGACTTAAAGGGAGAGTTCCCTGTAATGTCACCGAAATAGTTATATTACTCAGCTATCAATATAATATAAATTTCATATTTAAGTTTTTGATTGTCGGGATTCAAGACTTCGGTAAATTAATATTGGCTAGCATTGTATTTCTAAGTGCTTTAAAAAATGTCTGAAAGAATAATTTAGCATATGATCAATTTGAACTTTTCTCTTATACCACTGAAATCGCGGTAATGAAGTTAATGTTTGTTACTCGGCTTTATAATATATCAATGTAATTCAATTGAATTTTCTCCGCTAGAAAATGATCAATCTTTGGATTTTTGAGTGAAACAAAACCAAACAAAAACATGCACTGTCCATACAAACAGGATGTTTTGAGACATAAACATGCACTGTCCATCATACAAGAATGATGTTTGGAGGCATAAACATAATTAAACAACCTCGTTCTGTTGAAAGTGCATTTATTAGTCCTATCAATTTGTAAGTGTTTGTATAATCTGGAGCTCAGTACGTCTTATTTATTCCTCACAAGTGTGTGTATCATTGGGTTGCTTACTTGTTGACACCGACGTAATATACCCAACGTCTCCTTTTATTCACAAAAACAAATAGATAGAATAAACATCAATCAGTTACATTTATACACCATCAAACAAGTACATGTTATTACCCAAATCACACATAGACTGCCTTGTATATCAATACATTTATGGTTATGTAATAACATCGTTTTTGCTTGAACCTAGAATAGTTTTTTTTTATAAGAATTTCATTATTTGTTAGAGTTGAGCTCCATGCAAATGAAAAAGTTTGATTTCGGATATTGGACTCGTAGCTCACGGTTTGTTTTAAGACCGTAAAAAAGAATTACATTTTTTCAAATTTCAACAGATATAAGATGTTCATGCATTTATGAGGGAACATTGTTACATGTTAAGTATTTTCGCATTTATATACAATGTAGCTATATGCTGTTAATTCTTTAAGACGTAAGTAACCTGAATACGGGTAAATTCATCAAGTGATCATCTAAAATTTGACCTGTTAAGTTGTTAACAATTATACATGTATGCTGAAGTGTTGAATAATCATGGAAAATAATATACATAGTCTAACGTTAAAATTAAACTATGTCTTAATTAATCACTCACGTTGTACATCATATTTGAAAGAAATCTGATGACACATCTAGAAGACAACTGACTGTACAATTAAATTTACAGACCTGATATCGATATATTTGCTTCTTCATTCTATCCATCTTTCACATTTGAGTATGAATATATGAAGATGTGGGGTTTACATCAACGAGACTCAACAACACAAAAAAAAAAGCCTAAAGGTCATGCATACGGACTTCATATTCTATCATATAATAAATAGATTCTTAAATAATCCGAAACAGTCAAGGTTTTCTACTCCCATGTATAGATGGCCTTTTTCAGATTTGGCCACTTTTTAGAATTTTTAGTTCAACTTCGTTATCAATTTAGCCTGTCAACTGTTTTGATTTGAGCGCAACTGACGAGTCGTCAACGAAAAGCTCGTCTGGTGCATTATCATATTATAAGCCGATATCGTATAATGTAATGGACAGGTGCTAATTTCTGCTTTCCTTAGGTACATGTAGTTATTGGTATTCATAACTTTACAAATACTAAAAG